AACAACAAGCACAATAACTGCCGCCCCATCAATTCAATACATCTTTTAGGAAAAAGATTTCCCGATAAAAATGCAACCAGACTGCGGTACAGAATTTCAATTTAGGTAAGTGATTTTCTCAGAGCAGTGAGTTTTTCTTCCTGTTTTCAACATTGCTATCCTGTTTGTTCTCTAATTAAACTTTATTTGCTTTTGAAAACGTGTGCTTCTTACGTACAGAACATTTCATAGATATGTTGTGTGAATGTTTGATTGAATGATACGAGTCAACGATAGAAAAAATGTCACAATGATTTTCATAGTTTTTTACAAACTTTTATTAAGCGCACAATATCTGTAGGTTAGTTCGGGTCATATCACTGGATATAAACTCCTCTACAACATTGGCGATTTTAATCAAACTGGTATACAGGGTGTTTCATAACTACGGTACGAAACTTCAGAGGGTGATTCATTAGGTCGTTTTATGAAGAAAAGTTCCTATGAACATATGATATACAGGGCGTTGAAGTTTAAAAAGACGGTATTTATGAAATATCATAAATATGCGTACGCCACATATTAAAAAACTAATCAATATAGTTTATTGTATGATTTTCACTTGTATGATTTTCGATTCGGCAACGCCTGAAATTTCACTATGTTGAGCAACTTACAAAATGAAATGTTACTAGTTTCATTGGTGTTGAACGCATTTCAGTGTTTCAGAAGTTTCAAATACCTCCAAAACAATGGAACCAAACTATTGAAACGACGTTCCAATGATCTTGTTTATTATTTTTGGACAGTGTGATAAAATTATCAGCAGAAAATGTAGAAAGTTCAACGAAAAGTATCCGTATCTACCGCAAATGAACCTCAAGAAATTTATACGAATTCTGAACAGTTTCAATGCATTTATATCAACTTTAAAAGAATCAAGAAGCTTACCTCAAATGATACGCATTCAGAATGCATAAATGTATTTTTAAATAATAATAATAAAACTTTTATTGCAAAACGATGAACACAGGACACATCAAACGTCAGGGTCTGGTTAAAAAATGAGTTAAAATGTATTTACAAAATCTATAAATTATGGGGGATGAAAATTTTGAAATATTGAGGTACAGTACACAATTTCAAAACTATAAAAATAGTATTGGAATACAAAGACGAATATTTCAAATTCAACTGAATTTGAAATTCTGAAGACTAATTTCAACATTCATACATGTTTATTGCATCACACAATTGAAAAATTAGGTGAAACCAATTTTAGCATATATACATGTTTATTAAATCCAACAATTAAAAGAATAGTAGCATTTCTGCTTCAAGTAACTTATGACAGAATTTCTGAACTTGAGGTAGTGAGGTATATGCTTTGATTGCTTGATAGTGTAGACCTTTCTCCTAATAAGTTGATTTATGATAAGGGACAGATAGCTTAATTAGATGCCTAGTGTTGATGTTCATATTTGCAGAATATTGATCAGCTTCTGTCGGAAACATGTAGGGATATTTATCACAAAATTGACAAGGCGCAGAAAATACAATGAAGGCACTGTCAAGATGTCAAATTCAGAAAAGTATGTCCTACATGAAGTATTACTAGCTTGATGAAGAGCCCCAAAATGTGATCCCATAGGAAATAAAACTGATTGAACATGAGCATAGTAATATGTTCTTAAACAACTGACAGATACTTGGACTCGTAGATATCGTATAACTCCATAGATGGCCTACTATTCACGATGTTCATGTGCGATTCCCAGTTGGGGATCGAATCTAGTATAACGCTAGGAATTTTATATGATCTGATGTTGAAATCGATTTGCATTTGAGTTTGACATATGGGGATTCCTCAAAGTTGTTTCTTTTACTGAAAGTTATTAGGTCCGTTTTTTAAACATTTAACTTCAGCATGTTTTCTTTACAACGCATGCTTCTTTGTTAAATACTTGAAGCTTTTGTTGAGAGTTTGGACATATTTTTTACTGTAAAAACAAACGTTGTGTCATCAGCACACTGATATATACTACCAAATACCTTTGCTTGAGACATATTATTCTCATACAACAAGAAGGGTGGGGGTCTAAGAATTGCTCCTTGGAGTACCTCTTACATGATACTAGCTTCGCTGGACAGGTATTGGTCTTGTTCATCCATGATAGCAAAAACTTGTGAACGATTTGATAGATAAGACTCAATGATCCTATGACTTACACTCCTAATACCGTAATCTTCTAGTTTGTTCAAAAGTTTTTTATGGTTAACCGTATCGAAAGCTTTTAAAAGGTCAAGTGAATTGAAAATTGCTAGTTCAGTAGACATACCTTTCCTGAATCCGAATTGCTGAGCATCTGAAATATTGTTTTGGTCTATACAAAGGAGCAGTCTGATATATATTACACGTTCAAAGATCTCAGAAGTTGACGAAAGAAGTGATATTGACCTATAATTATTATTTTGAAGACAGGCACAACTTTGTCAGTTTTTAAGTCATCAGAGAAAACTCCTGATGTGGTGTGCCCCAGGGGACGGTGTTAGAACCAATCCTATTCAATATTTACTCGAACAACCTTTTCCTACTAAACATCAACTCCAACATTCTGAGTTTCGCCCATGATACTGTGTTGTTTTGCGAAGACGAAAACTGGTTCCATTTGAAACAGAAATTAGAACATGACCTTCATCAAATCAAATTGCGGTTCGACCACAGACTCTTATCTATTAACTTCGAGAACCTATTATATGTACCATTCAGTAGTTTTGACAACTCTCTACCAGAATATGAGATTAAAATCTTCAAAATTCGGAAATCATCAGACCCACAAAGAAAAGAAAATATTTCGGAATAATTTTAGACAGCAATCTCAGATGGAACCAGCACATAGACCACATAGTTAAAATATTACGTTGCATACTTTACAAATTCAAACGGATAGCAAATATACTCAATCAAAAACAGAAAATTATGTTATATAAGAGTTCAGTAGAGCCCCATCTGAGAAATTGGTTGGGTTGGAGTGTCGAAAACTCATCCACATTCTCTTGAGGTTATGCAGAAAAGATTCATCAGATATAAATTCTACGGAAAGGTTACGACTACCCTAGCGATCTACTTAATTGAGAATCTGGAATAACTGATCTTAGACAGCGGTTTTTTATAAATATTACTGCTGTACATCATGAAAATAAAAAAAAAATAACTACTCATCACCATAAATATGCTACACGTCAGAATCATAGTATCGTCATACCATTAATCTCTCAGTCAGTCAGTCTAATAAATTGATTGGTTTTATTTATTTATATTCTGTTCAAATGTAGCTATTTTGAATTTATATCTTAGTACCTAATTTAATGCATGAGTCTCATTCAATGTCAGATTCAGTATTTTCATTCCTTACACACATGCAGACCATTTTGCCTCGTAAGATGTATTTTATTTGTTCACTGTTCATTTCTTTATGTATATGTATATTTACTGTAAGCAATCTTAAGAAAGTGAATAAATACATATTATTTTTTTTTTCTCTGTAGTATGCGCTGGTCAGGCCCTATCTCCCGAAGCTCCGATACATTCGGGAGGGCGCGCCAGAATTATCAACCAATGACCACACCGTAGGGTAAGTGATCGTTGGGTCCAAGGATTATGTACCCTGAGCAAGCGCAGTGAGCCAAAAATGACACCCTTCTGCATCTGTACGGCTAAGATTTCTGCCTTAGTGCGGCAAGCCACACTATTATTGTTATTATTATTATAACATTTACTAAAAGTACTTATGATGTACTGTTTGGAACCTTTAACCTAGACACACGTGTCGAGGTGTTAAAAATAACGATTCAGTGTGGGGAAAAAACTCCAGTAATATTCATTTACTAAAAGATCACATTTATATTCTACAATTTGTTTGAGACAATGATGAATCTAAATTTTCGAGAGAAGGAAATTTCAATAGAAAAAATTGTCATCATTGGTCCAGTGAAAATCCTCACGTCACAAAAAAAAGCCTCATTTCAAGAAAAGTTCAGTTTTAATGTATTCTGCATGTTAATGGACAATAAATTAGGGTACCTACGCGATATACAAGAAATGTTAGTTCAAAAATCGTATTAAAACTTTCAGTAGGTATCTTTCGCTATCACATCTGAAAATAGATGTACATCAGAATGCATCCCATTGCAAACCATCAAGTTATCGAAGTTCAGGAGGTACTCACTTCATACATGAGGAAAAAACCAAATAATATTTATTTCCGAAACAGGAAACACCGAACTTCAGCAGATTCCAGCCGAAGACGTGATCGTGATCTCGTGTCCGATCTTTTAGTTGTCCATTCCGAACGGACTGAGTCCTAATTCGATTTATTTGTTGCCGCACCAGATGGATTGGAAAGACAACATCGCTTCGTCCAGCGCACTCTTTGATCCTGATGCTTTCTAATGCACCATGTGTTGTTTTATGTAAGGAGCCGAATCTAATTTGAAAAGCCCAGGAGAGACGAGTTTGCCTCGGATTATCCCGCCTTGAATTCCATTAAAGTCGCTGTGGAAGTTGTACATGGTGAGCATTTCCCAGGGTGCGGGAGAGTTTGAATTGGAGCAAACGACAGAGAATCTTTTGACCTTTTGCATCTGAAACTCGAATTTAATCTTTTTTCAAAATCGCCGGGTGTCCACATAACGAAAATTTACCGAACAGTGTCTTCGTCAAACACCCCACTTCGCAAGATAACCGATGACTGGCGAATGAAATTTATTTGGGAAATTTCTTAGGTTAGGTCCCGGCGCACTTATATAGGTTAGGTTTGGTTAGGTTCATTAACTGTTTCAAATCAATTTTCGAATATTCTCAATATATTAATAATTTATTATCAGTACTAGTAATCAAAGATTAAGTAAGGGGTTAGGTTGAGTTATATTTTAATTTTCCTAGGGTTTAGCAGCGTCATCTTGTGGCGATGGTGTAATCTCGAATACATAACCGACACTAATTTCTGAGATCGTCAACCAACGATTGAGACACACTGAGAGAAGAAGAATGAAAACAGAATTTCAAAAGGGTTTGTTGAATGTTTATGTTAATGGTGATTTAAACAATTGAATAATTCAGGAACACTATTAGCTGGATAGTAAGTATAGTATGTATCCTTTTTTAAACTGTCTCTTATGAAATTTTGGGAGAGATAGAAAATCTCTTTAGTAGTACGACAAAGAAGTCCCAACAAGCACCTAAAACCAAGCTATACCAAAATACAATCTAATACATTTAATGCTAATTATTTTCGTTGTTGTGGGTACTTATTTAGTGTTCAAGTAGTTGTTTTTTGTTTACTTACCTTCCCACTGTCTGAACATTTCAGAAAGAAAGTCACATTGCAAAAAAAATTAGTTATCAATTTATTTGCTACAACAAAATGATTACAATATAAAAATTACTTTCTCAAACTGAGTGGTTGATGCTTTTCAAACCGTGTCCATTATTGTCAAATCCTATTCGAAACACTACTCACAAATGACTCTTCCTCCCATAATGTTTTCCTGTATCAACCTGTATTGCTCTCTCATATTGTGAATGTTGGTTTGGTAGTTTTTAATCAGTCAAAAACTCAGTTGTTATGTAAAGTTAATTTGTCAGTCTGTTTATGTACATCAATCTAATCTTCACAAACAGAAAAACCAGTTTCGCGACTGTAGAACATTGGCAATGAAGTTATTCACTAGTATAAATGTCAGTGTTATTATAGAAAGCAAGACTGCACTTGGGGCGCTAATTAATGCATGAATATTGTGAATAAATCATAGAAGTGAAAGAGAAGCATAGTTGTTTTTTTTCAGATAATTATTCAGTTAAATGGCTCATGCTTTTTCTAAAAATGTTATCTGATAACAAATCTTGAATCACTCACTCTTTTCAGAAACTACTTACTGGAGAAAAAATAAAAATTACATATTGGTAGTACATTACTTACTATGTGGATGAATTATTATTTATTTATTGCAGGTAACAGCATAAAATGGCTCTACCCGCAAACTACAAACAAGTAGCCATGCAAATGCCAAGCCCACAAGCTTCAAATCGTAAGACATTCTTTTTTTATTGAATAATGAAAACTAAATCAATTTATAAATCTCCAAGGTTCCAGTTTCCAGTAGTATTCAAGTATAGAGTATAAAATAGTTGATATGTTTTCTAGAAAGCTTTTGATCGCATGTGTATATTATTCATAAGGCCGTTTTTATGACTTTTTATATAAGCATCTGAAAGAAATTATTTAATTAAAAGCATGATATTATTTTTATATATCTTGTATTTAAGTAAGCCTCATATATTACGATATTTCCAAAAAAATTATTTTTCAGTTGCACTACATATTCCACAAAAACTTTTTTGGGTTTTCACTTGAAAAAAAAAAAAAAAAAAAAAATCAACAATTATCGATGAATACTTGTTCTGTATTAGGAAAAATGTATAGATTATTTACAGATTATGTTATGGGTCAAGTTTGTTGCCAACTGTCAAATATTCTAAAAAAAAATATGAAGAATTTCAAATTGGAAGCGTTTTTTCTAAATGAATTTTTTTGAAATATGTGGGAGAACATCAAACTTGTTTTCAAACCACTTGACATCAAACTACATGTTCGACAGAAACGTCACAGTTAACGTCATGAAACGCAAAGAGTGAAGAATGAACAATCATCCCAAAAACATGCTGGTATACAGACAAGTTTAAAACCGAACATGGTATGGAAGCTGGAATATACTGTGCGAGAAGAAATCTTCATTTCAGTTCCTCTGTCGGTCAGTCTTCCAGGCTCAAGTGTATGCAATGTTGTGCAAGAAACATTAATGTGTGGCCTCAACAAAATGAGCAGATCCATATTTTCTAGACATCCCGGCTACACTTGGGTCACTGATGAACCCAAAGGAGACATTGGGACAGACATGGAAATGCCAAGTAACTAATCGTTCACAGTTTTTTCATTGAGGAAGTAATAGGAGAGAAATTCTACCAATAATGGTGCCACTCAAACAGCTGACTGCTGATCAGAATAATTGATTGTAAAACATAGGTTATGTTTGTGAGTTTGTGAAAGTAATGTTTTTTTGTGTGTTTATTATAGAAATAGGAAACTGATTACTTTCACCCATTGGAAGCACAAGAAACCACAACAATATGTGAAAACAGCTGACAGGACTGGCTTAGTTTCAATATGTCCAATAGATGGCATATCTGGAACTTCCTTATAGTATAATGTAAATTCCGCTAGTGTACATTTTTTATTATGATTTATATAATTGAAAGAATACGAAGTCTACTACCAAGTAAAAAGCCAAAAAGGTTTTTTCTCAATGTCCTCTTTTAAAGGAGCACAAATTACAGACCAGCGAACAGTATCGTAAAAATGTATGACATTAGTAGATTTTCACATAGAACATTAATAGTGAGGTTAGAAATATCAATATAGAATAATTGTCCAGCTGTCACACATATCATCAATTCAAAATTAGTGCGATGAAAAGAATGATCTTTTTTTTTTGGTAAAATATAGGTAATTTGAAGACATAACTCAGACATCCTGAACTGTGTTTTAATTTTTTAATGTTCAGGAATTAAAAAATGTAGGCAATATCACTACATTTTTTAAAACGTGGATGTTTTTAACTTCATATATTTGTTCTATGGAATTATATAAAAATCAATAGTATCATTCAAAATATTTGGAGATATCTGTAATATTCTTGTAGATTAGAGCTCATTGCTTCGTTTGTGTTTGTTGTTCAGATTTGCTGTCAGCAGCCGCTCCCATGACTTTCAACATTTTGAAAGGTAACTGCAAATTTCCTTTTAAATAAACACTTCATTTCATTAACATTTCCACCGAAGTCCCATCAGTCATTTCATTGACAAATTCCTTTAACAAAGCATGAGGATATCACCTTCATTAGTTTTAATGACCTCGATAATTGATTTGCGCAGTAATAGACACAAATAACTCAAGATTTTGATAATGGAAATTGTTTCGCTTCAATAGAATATTTGCTTGTAGTCAGAACTACTTTGAAATTTAAAAAATACTTTGTATATCTGGTTGCGCTTCTAGATTTCGGTATGTTTGGGCTCTGTATGGTGACTGCAAATCTCAGCAGTAAACAAGCTCAATAAGATAGAAGAAGCTGCTTCATTCTGGAATAACAAAGGCTCTGAATAGCAACGATAGAAGTTCTGTTAAATCTCTAATCTCTAAACATACTTGGGGCATATGAGGGTCTCACTTGAAATGTAACTCACTTGAATACAGAGAAATGTATCTCACCTGAATACCCAGAAATTTTGATGTGTTGTAGGCTGACCATATCTTGTGCTTACCTGTTATATAGTTGAGTAAAAACGGGGTTCATTCATTCAAATATTTTACTTAAAATCTTCTAAACTTATATCATTGTGGTTTTTATACGAAATGTAGATCATTCCATATTGTAATAGAACTAATCTAAATCAACACAATCTTTGTGTTGATGAAGGACATTACCTTTCACTGACGAGGGGCCAAATAGCCCGAAACCGGTCTGCAAATGTGCCCCTGCCAATAATTGAAAATCAATTCCGACAGTTGTATCGCAAAAAGCATATATAGAAATTACTTATGTGAAGAATGCAGACACCTGTTGGATATAATCTAACGCCCGTCGTGGTATTAGCCAGGGTAGTAGTTGTTTTCGAATAGGTGTACAGTGTACACTTACAGTGTATGTAAGCGAAGTCTGGCTTGAACGAATTGTTCCTTTAGATGATTAGAATTCAGACAACAATTTGTCAGTTGCAGATCTGGTTCAAAAGTCGCTGTATAATTTTAATTGGACCGGGAATGTGGCAACATGTTCACTGGATTTTAACCAAGCATGGCTACCTCTTTTGAGAAAAAAATTGAGCTGTGAAAATTTCACAAACGTGAAATTCTGCCATCGAGTATCGAACAATTTAATTGATAATAAGTAACTTCTTTGGGGTTCCAAACCGAAATGCGTTTTGTCAACTTCTGCAGCAGACATCAGCAACAACTGACTGTCTCTGGACACAAGTCAGCATCATCTGAACCGTACAACTGACTGTCTCTGGACACAAGTCAGCATCATCTGAACCGTTTGCTGTAAAGCCACCTGACAATTAATAGTAATAATAATAATGATAGTATTTATTGCCCAGCAGATTGTATAATCCCCTCACAGAGCAGTTTTAAGTAACAAAAGGAAAAGGAAAAAAAATGCCACTACAAAAATAGATAACTTCAAGTACAGTGGAAGAAAAACAAGTGAAATATCACAAGTTTTGTATTACATGCTGCTTAATTTGCTTCAAGTTATCCCAGAATAAATCACAAGAGTTACAAATTTTGTTGAAATTATTTCACATTGTGATGATGTGTGGTTTCATGAGGACAATAGTTTTTGGTCGGGAATTGTACAACGTTAAATTGTTTCTGCCCGTGACTTGTGGCACCTGTAAATTCAGATGACTTAAGTATATCAGAATAGTCAATAAAATTATTGACCAATTTATAGAGGCATGAAATAAACGTTGAACATCTTCTAAACTCCAAGCTTTCAAAGTTGAATCTATTAATCATCAACTGGTAATGTGTTCCCCGCTGTGCTTGATTAAGCTGTTGTATAGCTAAGCACATAATGCGGTTTGCGATCCCAATAATATGTGAAACATGGCAGGGACTCCATATAGTAGAACAATATTCTAACTCCTAGAGAACATTAGAAAAATATTAAGTCTTCACAGCAGCAATGTTAGAAAAATATATTTCTGCAATTGTGCACTATAAAATGATACATCCTAGATGCCTCTGAAACTTTAAGACCAATCTTCCGAAGAAAACTCGATTCAGAATCAAAAACTATTGTTTCGTTTATGATTGGTCGGAAGTAGGCGAAAATGATAGTTCCCATTTATAAAAAAGATCCTTAATCCGCATTACCGAATTAAAAGCCAATTTTACTGCTGCAGTCGCCTTAAAAAATTGTGGAGAGAACTATCTGTAACAGACTCAACTGTTATCAGATCCTGACACCGAATCAGTATAGCTTTAGGAAAAAAATGTTTCAACAGAATTAGAAACTTATAACGCCACTGAAAATATCATGAAAAATATCGATAATGAGATTACTTTGGTCGGCTAAAATGTTGACCTTTTGAAGGCATTCGATCTAGTAAACTGTTACATACTACTGTATAAACGAAAAAACTGTGGCATCAAAGGAGTAGGCAATTAGCCATCTGTATCAACGAACACGGTAAACAATATTATTCAAGAGAAACTTATGTAGTACCGCAGGGATCGATATTGGGGTCAATTCTTTTTTCAATATATGCCAGTGATCTACCAAAAACCCTCAATCCTGGAGTAGTATACCAATTTACAGATGATACATGAGCGAAATAATGCAGAGTTGTCGGAAGTGGTATCCAAAAATGGTGCCAAAAAAAATCCTTGAAACTTGATGTAAATTGAACTAGTATGATGATGTTTAGTGAATCCAAAACATGTCATGAATCTATTTATGCTAAATCAGATCATAAATCTACTCCAATGGTAGATAACATAAAATTTCTAGGTGTTACGCTTGACCCATGTCTAATTTCTTGACTGAGGATAAATGTCGGAGAAAACGAAGATTGTAGGCTGACTAGTGGTTAGAGCATAGAAAAAAGTTTACTCACGTGAATCTTTTAAAAGAACTGAACAGAAACCGGATTGACCAATATAGTAAAACCATATATTGATAAAAAAAAAGATTTTCGATGTTCGTTGAGTGCTTAAGAAAGGGAACTGTCCAATATTTGTCGGCTCGAAGAAGTAACAAAGACATGAAATACAATGCGTAGACATTTTGTCCATAAATATGGCTGACAAGCATCTAGATTCTGTCTGTCTGGTCAGAAGTGTGTATGAGCTTTAAGCAATATATATCGGTTCCTGAAAATGTTGTGAGACAAAGAATTCATTGGCACCTAATTAGCTTATCTTCGGTGGAAGCAAAATTGAACTTTTTGAGTTTGATACTATTTCTTGGCGGGAATATTTATTGGGATTGAATGTTTAAAGAACACAAGCGATAGATCAGGAGTGTCATTTTTATCTAATTCAAATCCTGACGTACCTACATACATATCAACTTTCTGGGTAATTCTATACAATGACAATGCAAAATCAAGTCATGAGTACATGTATGAGATTGAATAATTTAATAAAATTGGTTACTGGTTTATTTCTGTAACTATAAAAATATTCACTCAAGAGGTTTTCTAAATAAATATTTCTCAGTTCTTTCTAGACAAGGCGAGTTTTAATGACTACAAGGGAATATCATCCACAACTCAAGGCATTTATCATTTCATTCATATTTCATAATTGCTTCATATAACTTCTTCATATAATAACCTGGAAGATAATGAAAATTAAATGATTTCACACAGGAAGTCAAGAATTGAGTACTAACTATCCTTCTGGTCTGCTTGGTAACAAGTTTTTCATAATAACCCAAACAGTTTGAAAGATTAAAAAACCTAAGTTTTTGAGTTTATTATTGTTCTGCATGGTTCAAGAATGAGTTTCCATCAAGATCGTTCTGTAGAGAGTTAGTTTCATCTATATTTATGTAGCAATCAATGACTATAATTATTTATGTTATTTCCTGAAATCCTAGGTTCGATTATCATTTTCTGAATCGTGTGAAAATTAGTAGTGAGATGTTTGTTCTTTTCGGTTCTAACTCAACCTGTTCATTCTTGACGAAATCATTGTTCTCTGGCTGTCCACTGTTTTTGCATGGGACAGTCGTATCACTGCACATTAAAAAAAACAATGTGTATGAAGCTGATAATTCCAATTCTTTTTTAGAGAGACTAAGAGCTTCTGGAGGATCAAGTTCCAGTACAACAGTAAGTTCTTATGATATGAAATCCTCTTCGTTTTCACAAAAAGATTGGCTCTAGTTATGTTATTCGGTACCAAAATGAATATAGAATTGTTATAATACCAAGTATAACAATAATAATGTGACGAATGAGCAAGTACTCTATTTTTTTTCCTTTTTATTCCAGAAAGAAACAAATCCTTTTATATCTACTCCAAATGGGCATCCAGGATTTATTCCACAGAAAATTGGTAAAAGTGCCACAGTAAGTACATGCTTTGGTTAGTTTATTTGTATTTTTTTGTTTTGATTCAGCAGAAAACATGCCGAAACTACAACCGATTTTGAAACCATGTTTACGATGTTTTAGCCCAAATCAAACAAAACAGATAATTTTATTGAGAGCAGTTGAACTCCTAATTAATCAAATAAATACATCTATTAATACAAACATATTTACAACTATCTAATATGAAGGGAAACATGTTAAATGTATAGAAATTCCTCTTTTGGTCAAAACAGAAGCCTGAATGTGAAAATATATATTTTATTAAGGTTTTAAAGCAAAACATGTACTGAAGTATTCATGTTGGTGTAATATTGTAAGCTACAAAAGATCGGAGTGAACAGAAATTTCGAAACAAGTGGAGGAGCACATATTGAATATGTGCACGGACCACATGACACCGAAGTACAACTTTAACACAAACTTCACGATCAAAATCATAAGCCGTGAAGAGTGGAAGACCATTAGTCATCCCGAAAACATGTTTGGAAAAAACACCTGGTATACAGACGGATCGAAGACCAAACATGGAACTGGAGCTGGAATATACTGAGTGTGTATGCTATCTTGCAGTGTGCAAGGCTTATTAAATTGAGACCTCAAAGAAATGAGCGGATCAATATTATTACAGACAGCAAGAGCGCACTAGGGGCTCTGACAAACCCGAAGGTGACATCAAAACTAGTCTGGGAATGTCATAAAGAACTGAGTGAACTTGTAAACAGGAACAAATTAATTTTATACTGGGTGCCAGGGCATTCAGGAATCACAGGTAATGATAATGCTGATGAATGCGCTAGACGCAGATCATCAACTTCATATATAGGTCCTGAACCAGCTCTGGGGGTACCAAAATTATTGGTACGAAACCAGATTAGGACACGGACTAATAAGAAGCAGTACTGGACAAAAGTACCTGGCAATAAATACAGTAGAACCTTCATTAGGGAACCGTCTGAGAAGAAAACTGAAGAACTACTTCAATATAGTATGGATCGGCTCAGAATAATTACAGGGTTACTAATCGGTCATTGTTCGCTTAGAGGACACCTGAATAAAATGGGGGTGTACAACGGAGACCTCAGCTGCAGATTATGTAACGAAGGGATAGAAACAGCTCTACACATCTTATGCGAATGTGAGGCACTGAATCACACGAGGCAGGCAATATATAGAGGTACGAAATGACTTCCAGAAGAATATGACGAACATCCAACACGGAACCTGTACAAACTAGTACAGGGAACGAGACGATGGGAGGATAAACGCAATAAGCCCAAGAGGCTGCAGTGTTTTCTGGAGACTTGGACTAAATGGACAAGTCAGACAGCTCCCAAGGTACAAAAAAAAATATTGTAAGCAATTGATAGAGTTTTGATATATATGATCTTTCACTATCTTTAAATATCCTAAAAAAACAACTAGTGTCCAAAATATTGGGAACGACTTGTCTGTGGTAGACTCCTAAAGAAAGGAAGAAGAAATTACACAAGAAATCAAGCTCTGAAATTGATAACATTTTAAAAACCTTGGTGATATAAATGGAAAAGTTGTCTTTGATTTGCATACCCAACCGTATTGCTAATATATTTGAATAAGCATACTTTTGAGGGTTGAACTGGTTGAATAAGTTTGTAACAGCCTTCCTCACAACTCACAGAAAAGACGCATTTGAGAACAAAGAAAGTTTGTCAGCGTTTTCACAGACCTAACTGTGGCATTTGATTCTGTAAACCATACAGTTTCATCAAATAATTTAAATTTTTATGGAGTAAGAGGTGTCGGTCTGTACATAATGAAATTTTACCTTACTGAAAGATACCAAATTGTTGATATGGTTGATACTAGAAGTAATAAAAAGATATTATTTGGAGGAGTGTCACAAGGGTCAATGTTGGGGCCACTTCTGCCTCTGATTTATTCTAATGAGCTGTTCAGGCATTGGGTGCAGATGATGCAAGTTCAAGTGGAAAAAATTATAAAACAGGATACTTACATAATCTACAAAAGGATTTTGGACAAAGCTCGTCCATGGTTCTCATGTCAAATGACTTGATTCAGAATGAACAAAAATCAGAAAACCTCACTTTTGAAATAAGTCTCTCCATTTGTGATAACAAAACATCTACTAAATATCTGGGAGTACAGATGGATTCCAACTTGAAATGGGTAGAACATAATAGTATGTGCAGTAAACTAAGTAAGTTAGTGTCATTCACTTTTTTACTATGTTCTAAAGTATGGCATAATTGATTGGAGCAATTGGATCTGCTTTGTGACATTGAAATTTATCCACCAAGAGAATTTTTTAATAAATATCTTCCAGTTTTTTATAAATACCTGCATTTGCAAGATTATTTGATGACTATGATATTTTTTATATATATTTTTTTGTTTACTTCCAGTTGCATTGTATTTTTTTGACCTGAGCTATTCATCTGTGTAAATTATGAACTTCAATAAATTCAACTTCCATTTCTATGTTATTGGATTTTTGTGTACCATAAATAATATTTTACATATGCGAAGCTTATTGGTAAATCATCTGAAAATGGAACTTTTTAAGAGGTGATGATCGACTGTATTGCCAAACAAGTATAGCTGAGGCACCAGTCAATCTAATAATAACACTGATCTTCAAATATGACTTAACCTCTGAAGGAAGCACCAAACTCATACGAAGGTTCGAAATAGATGAACACTTCAATCTAGCAGATCACTATTATGATCTTCATGCAGTCATTGTTCACTGTGGTTCTGGCGTTCAATCTAGTCATTATTACGCATTGGTCAAAGACGAAATGGACTGGTTTAAGTTTGATGATAGTCGTGTCAGTAAGTGTTCTGGCGATGTTTTGAATTCATTGGAGCCTCTGGAGATACCCTACATTTTGTTTTATGAAAGAGAGGACATTGGCAGGTTTTTTCGGGTTTTCCTGCAGCTCAAAAAGCAAATGTGCCACTGGAATCAATGAAGTCGCCCTGGAGTGCCAATTAATTTTTGATGTTGTTTTATAATTTGATGATGTGTATTTTGGGAGTATTATTACACCCCTATTTAATAATAGGACAATTGAACATTTTGACCAAATCAGGTGGGTAATTCCATTGTTTTCAATTTATTGCAATGGCGAAGATGGAGGTCATCAAAATGGTATCATTTGAAAATTTGATTTATTTTCAATCTTGATTTGTATAAATGTGATTTGATATTCTAATTGCACTTTATTTTTTATTTTTTTTTTTAGAAGAGTGAGGCAAAAACTCCAAAACCGCCCAAAGCGCCAGAGAAGCCCCTAATGCCATACATGAGGTATAGCAGAAAAGTATGGGATGCTGTGAAGGCCCAAAATGCGGATTTGAAGTTGTGGGAAATAGGAAAAATCATCGGACAGATGTGGAGAGATCTTCCTGAGGAAGAGAAAAATGAATTTGTCGAAGAATATGAGCTCGAAAAGGTGAGTCTAGAGAAATAGATTTTTCAACATCAAAAGTGAAGGGAATGTTCAAAGGAACATAAAAAAATATTTAATGGATATTTGTCTATGAATGCTTTCAATTTCAGGTAGAATATGAGAAGACGTTAAAGACTTACCATAGTTCTCCTGCATATCTGGCGTTCATGGCTGCTAAAAACAAAGGAAAATCAAGTATGTTTTCATTGACAACAAGTAATATTGAAACAAAAAGAGCTTCGGTATTTATAAATTTTCTCTCGTCTATTGTGCCAATATTCGAAACTAGAAATTTATTTGAACTTCATATAACGGGGAATAATGTTGCAAAGATAGTCTAAACGGTTAATCTAAAAACACAGTCTTGCATGAATAGTCAATTGGACTCGTTAACTCCAGTAGAACACATGATTACAAAAAAGATAAGATCTATCAAAATAAGCTACAACATTTTCCATATAAACTGAAAAGGTGGAGTTCATCTTGAGTACCAGGAGTGCACAGAGATGGTCTTCCACTCAACCTTTGGACAAGCGAAACAAAAGATCACAGACAACTAATCAAAATTGAGGTAAACTATAGAATTTCATAAATTTAAATCAATGTTTTCGAAAAGAGGAGAGTTTCATATTCTCAAAATCTTTTTTTTTTGGAAAGAAAGTTTTTGGCTTTCTACTACCCATCTTGATACAAAAAAATGTGGGAATCTTTCAAAGAAAGGAAGAAAGTAATCAATTTGAAAATGAGTAACTCTATACATGGATGTATAGATCATGCAAAGAAGCAACTTTCAAACACAAACTGAAAAAAAGCCTTCCTGAAACAGCTAGTTTCATATAAACATTAAATTACATGAAAGAAAAAAATTATTTCGAAACAAATACTTTTACATGAACACTGAATTATACAGAAGATACTTTTCTCTACTCAGTTTGTATTCCAAACATTCGTTATGGAATAAAAATCAGATATCATTCACAGGAGATCTACTTCAAATGAATGGTAATAAATTGCACCTACATGGAACACTGTCATCCTCACTGGTATACATCGATGTTTCGCCATAAGACACTTGCCTTAGGGCTCGTCAGTACCAAATTGGATAACATTATAGAAAATACACACAATTCATTCATGAATTACGATTTTTAATGTCACCGAATAAGTTTGATCTACTTATGTCATTGATGACATCGTAATGACATTCATTCACCTATTTGATTAAATCCTAGCCAAGAGGAATCTTTTTGAATCTCAGGGGTCAGTTAAATATGTAAGCTACTTCCCCAGAAACAGATTCCGTATCTCAGATTGGATTCTATAAATACAAAACATGATTCAAACAGATTACAGTTTGAAGAGCACTGAATTTTCCATTAATGTTCTTACTGAAAAAGTTATTTCAGCTACACAAGGTACTGATGGGGAAACCCATGAAAGGCAAACAAGTGCCGCTGCGAAACAACAAGCCGCAGCAGACAGACGGATCGAGATTCAACCTGCTGAAGACGAAGACGGTAAGACATATTCGTATTTTGTTAGATTGTAAAGGTAAACAACTCCAAGATCATTTATTTTTCTCTTAGACCAAGACGATGGCTATTCCGTTAAGCACGTAGCATATGCCAGATATTTGAGAAACCACAGGTTAATAAATGACATATTTTCGGAGACTGTAGTACCAGACGTCAGATCTGTCGTGACTACAGCCCGAATGCAAGTTCTCAAAAGACAAGTTCAATCATTAACGATGCATCAAAAAAAGCTCGAAGCTGAACTGCAACAGATCGAAGAAAAGTTTGAAGCAAAAAAAAGGAAATTTGTCGAGAGCAGCGAACAATTTCAAGAAGAGTTAAAAAAGGTATGATTCAATGTATTTTATCGAGATATAAAACTTAGAATTGACTATAAATAATGTTTGTCTTTTTTCCTAAAAATAACTGGCAACTCAACAACACAGAACTGACCGTCTCTGCATTTTAGCATTGTAAGCCTGCTGTGGATGATGAGACATTCCAAAAGATGGTTGAAAAACAGTACGAAGCTCTGAAGAAAGATAAAAATAAAGGACAAGAAGACATTAAACCTAAAACTGAGGATAACGAAATGGAAAATCCTGCTTCAGCACAGGAATCAAATCAAGCACACCCAGAGGTATTTAGAAAAGACATCTTTTTCAAGTTTTGCTTTTGTGTTTGTAGCTCTGAATATGCTATGTCTAACTCTCATTCAAATCGAAATTTGTATTCCATTGTGGAGGATTCCAGATCCTACATCTTGATCACTCATTCAAAGTTAGCATATTTATTGCTGTTTACCTGGCACTTGTTATTCTTGTATTCACTTGTGTGTAATTGTGTGTACTTTTTCTGTTGCAAATACAGCCGATTATTCTGCAATACATACAGGTAAAATACCTCTTGGTTCATTGACATTATTCCAGTATTTCAGTTTTGATACTTGGTATTTTATGAAATGAAATGGTTGAGCATGGAAAAATTTATTTTCAAGATTCGAGCTATACTGATCAGAATGTAATGGATTTGCTCAATTCTCATGATAATAGTTGTTACAAAATATGTTACAGGTTACTCCTATATATTTGTTTTTATGTCGCCAGTTCTACAAAATGAAGTAATCGTTTTTGTACTTACACAAGTAAGACGAAGTTCAAGAATGTTTCAATTATATAAACTCTAGATACCTTTATTATTTTTGTTCTTCCAATATTTGTTCTTGAAGCTCTAAGAAGAGAAATTTGTACTCAAGTTTAAAATAATGTAAACGGTTTGAATGATTTTTGGCTGTAAAAACTTTTGACGACTTGAGAATTTCAAACTGTTCTAAATATTACAAAACAAGGATTATGAAAATCCCACTAAATTAATGAAAAATAATCTTACTTTTCTAATGGTTGTCTGGATACTAAACCGAGAATAGAAAAATCTCATGGGAAACATGTAAATTTACAACTTGGTATTAGGTACTACCTGGATAAAAATGAGACTTTCATGTGGAAAAATGTATGGCAGGATAAACCAATTTGCAATGCAATGTTTCGTTCATTAGATGTAATCGTCAACTTCATATTTTTAATACGGGCCTCTTGATTTTTCCATTCATTTTTGTAGCCGCTGTCATAACAAATTCAGATATGCATTAGAGTACATGTGTTTCTCGAAGTTTTTCTCGTCATCACTGTATGGTCATACAATTCCCGGTCAGAGCTACCTCAAAAAAGTAAGGGCTAATATTTTTTGGCTCTAGAACTCAAGGCTATACATCAACTCCACATATCAGAAGAACATGTAATATACCAAGTAACAAACAGATAATAATTAATGTCAATTGTTTCTTAAACACGTATTCGCTCTTGCAATGATATTCGGAGTTATAGCCATGCAAGCCTTCCTTATTGTTTCTTTCAATTCGTCAAGGGCCAGGTCAGGTGAACGTGATGGCCATTTAATAGGACCATTGTTTCCTATTCATTATCCTGGCATAGTTGTATTAAGAAAATACTGATATCTTTCAACAACTAGAGTCTCCGACAAGAATTCCAAATATAATTTTTTGGACTTGATATAACACTGATGTGCAATCTCTCTCAAAGATATTTTTTTGTTCTCAATTCGAATCGAATCTGAATCAAATAAATATTACTTTATTAGTACTGAGAAATCTGAGAATGTCTTCTTAACATACCTAAAACGCTAATATCTTCTACATTTTTGAGACTACACAAATACTGAACAACAAATATGAAACAGTATTGAAAGTTTCTCTGCCTTTCAATATCATTCGCAATGGAGGTATTAGAGCCGAAAATCAAAATTGGGCAATTCTAGTTTGTGGAGAATATTTCAAAAACAACCACTGATATTCTCGATCTGAAAAGAGATTATGCTAGTTTCCTAAAATAGGAAACTCTCGTCCAATTTAATAGACCTTGTAGGTCTTACCATTTCCGAGGCCTGTGTATTGTATAATATCATTCTAAAAAGTACATTTTTTCCTTCTTCTATCGAAGAAGAAATATGAAATGAAATGCTTTATTCAAAATAGGATACATCCTAATATGCAACAATGATAATAATGTTAACATTAATATACATATAAACACAATAATAGAAAAAAAGATATACTGATATTCGTTAATAAGTAGTCTTACTTACGATAATTGAAAATACAAAAAATAATACATAATAATTCGGTATCATCTTAATGGTTTAATAGATTTCTTTTGAACAGAAAAAGACTGTTAGAAGACTTTACATTTTCAGGTAGACTGTTATACTCAATAAATCCTTTAAAAATTAATGTTTTAGTGTTGAACGTTTTCGTTTGATTATTCACATACAAATTATTTCTCATTCTAATATATACTGATGGATTTGCTTATTAAAAATAACAAATTTGTCAAAATATGAAGGTAGAAGTAATAAAGTAGAATGTAAATATAAATCATCGTTAAATATGCAAGCCTAATTTCTATAGATATTCATTCTAAAGTATTCAACATTAAAGATATATGGGTACTCCTGTCACATCTCAAAATAATCCTCATTGCGCGATTCTGTAGTTTTTGTAGTGTTCTCATTTTATTTGAATCACCTGTGTATAGATAGAAATAGTATGCAATTAAATTTTTGCCACTGAGTATATTGTTAACAACGAAAACCATGACGTACAACGTGCATTCGACACAATAATGCATCAGTATTCAATAATTAAATCAGAGGCAATGGGTATTCAAGATCCAAATAAACTGTGGATCCACTCACACATGTCCAACAGAACTCTCACAGTACAGATTGATAGTAAGTTATCTAGGGGTGGCATTGGCAAGGTGGCGTCATAGGGCCGTTGCTTTTTTTGCTTTATGTGAATGATTTGTCCATTCATCAAGCAGGGAAGTACCAGTGGCATAGAAATAAATACAGTTTGTCAAATCTAGGAAGAAACTTGAGAAATATTTCTCTCTCACTGTTTTCTAACAAACGTACGCGCGACCATAACGGAATTCAGAATGCTCTTCTTACATTTGACAAGCTGTACCTCGAAATCAGCATTGTTCTCAGGTCTGGAACTTGACTATAAATTATCATCCAATAACCACATAGATGCTATTGGCAAAAAACTGAAAAAATTATATTTCCCACAATCTCAAATCAAATTTCCATAGGCCATATCTAATTATTTTATATTATGCACTGGTATAGAGCACCATCAGCTGCCACATCATTTTATGAGGAAAGTCCAGAAAAACTTCTGGAGTCTTCACAATACTGAGAAAGTTTATCAAAATGATATTTGATTTAGGCTACAGAGAATTGTTTAGGAACACATTTACTGATAACATGATATGATATATAACATTGATATATAACTGATGATATAACATTTACATCCACCTGTTTATATAAATCAGTGACCTTACGTCATAGCGAAAAACTAAACAAAAACAGTGCGTACCTCAAATGCAATACCAAAAATAAAAATGACTTCCACTTTCGTCTCATACTCAGATCACAACACAAAACGTCAAACTTATTTAACTTGTTATCTGAAAACATCATATTATTTACAAATTCCATCGAGGAGCATTTTATACCTTAAATGATTATATCGAAAAGCGGGGCTAATTTTTACTTTATGTATGTAGCATGTGTATAGCTTTTAATATGCATTCAATGCTAAATAGCAGATGCAAAATGGGGATTTACTCTAGCGTCATTGAGACATATTAGGTTGCAAATAAATGGGGCTCATGGGTACAAGGTATCCCCCTGTATATTAATCTGCCGCGCTTTAGTAAATCCCGAAATCCCCGCTTGGGCTCCCCTATTAATAATACGTTTCAACCTCTATATTTGAATCCGACTATTGTTAATTTGTCTGCACCTTTTTGACATATCTCATGTTCTAAAAACAGTAGCTTTATGTATCAAGTCTCGTTAAAATGGAGGTTATTCTGTTTTTAAATAAATAAATGAGAATATAAATTAAACAAAAGTTTGTATCGTAAATTATATTGCTATAAGGAAATAAATATTTCGAAATAAAATCTCGAAATATTCATCTTTTCCATATTTCTTTCATCATCGTTAGCCAATGGAACAAGACCCTCCGGAAAAAGTAGAACCGGAGCCTCTACAGAGCTCCCCCATACCAACCACCAACGGACAAGACATCAAACCTCACCCCGATCAACATTCTAGCGCTTCCCACTACCACCCACACAACGAGCATCCCCCCGCAACCTCGCACCCCCACGAACCTTCTCACAGCACTCCTGTTCATCCGCACGGTGTGCCGCAGCATCAGGCGCCTGTCGCCCATCCTCCAGGTCCTGGATTGCCTTCGGGCGCCGGTAATTTACCAGGTACCGTCTCGGGTCACGGTCCAGTGCCGCCTCACATCCAGCCGGGGCAAGGAACAGCTCATCCGCCAACTGCCCACGCTCATCAGAATCCCATGATGCCTCCCGGTCAGGTGCCGCAGTACCAGCAGCAGTATCCTCCTCAAGGTAAGGCTATGTCTTATGTGAAGAACGATCAGAAACGTAAAAAATTAATTTGTGAAACAAAGCAACAAAATATCATATTATACGAGGTGTGTTCAGAAAATAACGAAATTTTTAAATTTCACGGGTGTGGAAAGTCCGATTGTAGATTTTTTTTTATTATGTTGGTATATGTGCTCCTGAAGTATGTAAAAATTTTCAGCTTCATTCATTGTTTACTTTATCTATGACCACGATTAAGGTTAGACGTGTTTTTGAAAGCTTGACGATTTTCATTTGTTGAAACAACTGGATCCCAGAATTTGTATCAAATTTTGCGGAAAAAATGAAACAAAATGTCAGACAGTGTGTGAAATGTTCACAAAGACCTATAGGGAGTTTGCTTTGACCGAAACAAGATTTTACTAGTGGTATAAGCGTTTACAAGATGGTCGTGAAGAGATTGAAGAGGACGATCCTTTCATAATCTAGAAACAGCTTTTTATATATGGCCCAATAAGGTGAATAATTCTAGGCTAGATTCAACAGCCTGAAAAGAGCCTATTTACTCCCTAATTTACCAGTAAAAGCAGGTAAAAAAGTCTATAAATCAATGATAATAATAATAATGATACTTATTCTAGAGGGTTAGAATAGGTTAGGTCCAAAGTGAGTGGGTCTATTCGACCCTACACTGCAACCCGCAAGGGTTTATTGTTGCTCACACCTATTCACACTTGACCAAATAAACCCAGCTTCTTAACGAAACCGCTCAGTTTGTATGGTGAGGGGTCTTTCAGGTCAGATGGTGAGAGTACGGCTCTAAAAACTTGATTAGGTCCCCAGCGGGGCAGGCACAAAGTATGTGCTCTGCTGTTTCATCATTTTCCAAACAGAGGCGACACACACTTCTTCCTACAGTCCGAGTCTCTGCATATGATGATTCAAATGACGTTGACATGCAAGAAGACCTGTTAGACATTGTAGTTCATCCCTACTGTAGTCCTACAACTGTTTGGTATCAATCTTCGAAGGGTGAATAAACGCCTTGGAGTGAGCCAACCCTGGATTCTGCCAGAAGCCCATAAATCTTCTTACCATCCAGGTGTTCAATTTTTGTTTGGAAAGGCCTAAAGCGATGCCAATAACAAGTTCTGGTCCGATGTAGCTGCTTGCAGTACCCTCCTTTGCAAGGGAGTCAGCAGCCTCATTGCCTTCCAGGCCAGTATGGCCAGGAAACCAGACCAAAGACAATCTGTTAAGTCTTCCTATCGAGGAGAGTTGTTTTTGGCAATTTGCTACCAATTGAGACGTTGCTTAGTAGGAGCCAAAAGGTTCGAACGCCTATTGACTGTCCGCGAATATTTTTTATTGATTTTTGTATGAGGTTGGTTTCTTCCAATCTCTCCGCACACCATTCAATGGCGTAAATTTCCGTTTGAAATACAGTTGCATAG